GGAGAGGAGAAGGAGAGAGGTAAGGGGAGAGGGATAGGAGAGAGGGCGGGGGAAGAGGAGAGAAAGGAGGAGTGGAAAGGGGGGAGAGGAGAAGGAGAGAGGTAAGGGAAGAAGAGAGGGATAGGAGAAAGCGTAGGGGGGAAGAGAAAGGAGTGGAAAGGGAAGAGGAGAAGGAGAGAGATAAGGGAAGAAGAGAGGGATAGAGAGGACAGGGGGAAGAAGAGAAGAGAAAGGAGGAGTGGAAAGGGGAGAGAGGAGAAGGAGAGAGGTAAGGGAAGAAGAGAGGGATAGGAGAAAGCGTAGGGGGGAAGAGAAAGGAGTGGAAAGGGAAGAGGAGAAGGAGAGAGATAAGGGAAGAAGAGAGGGATAGAGAGGACAGGGGGAAGAAGAGAAGAGAAAGGAGGAGTGGAAAGGGGAGAGAGGAAGGGGAAGTATAGAAGAGAAGGATAACGGAGGGAATAAAGGAGGTAGGGAAAGGGAGGAGAGAGGAAGAAGAAAGTGAGGGATTAGGTACAATTATGGTCTATGGAGAGCAGAAGAGCCAATAATTGTTTTGGGGAATTGATGGTATGATGAATTGATGTAAACATTTATTAATACAATACGATGTTAGCTATATAACAGTATACATGCGGTCATATGTTATGAAAATGAAATTTTTTTAAAAAAACTTTATATAATAAAATAAAATAAAATTCTGGGCAGTTCATAATATCAGAATGCATAACAAAAGAAAATAAAAATGTATATTTATAACGAGAAAAAAAAAGATCTGCGTAGCTGCCATTCTTCAGAAGAAGGGGAATTATAACTTGCTACATTTACGTGCTATTTTCCTTTCTATCTATCTTTTATCCTGCATTGCATTCCCGTATAACCTTTCACCTGATTTATAACCGTTGCCTGGGGCATCCAGTGCCCGGCTGTTTCTCACCTCTCAGGGGAATTATAGGGGGGGGGAGTGGGTCATGTGGACAGTGGAGCTGGAAGATGGCTCTGAGAAAGCTTCATGATCTCTTTTCTCAGAGCAGCCGGTACAATAACATCTTCACACCTGCGGATTGGCTGAATCCACACCGGAGAGTTGGGAGGGGACTCGTAATTCCTTTATTCTTACTTGTATCGGCTTGAGGGCCCTCAGAGCTTGTTGTGCATTTGCCTTGCTATCACCCCTTTTGAATAAAAGGTTCCTTTTGAAATGGCAAATTTCAAGAGTCTTTACTTTCTTGATTAAGACGGAGAGGCCGAGCCTTGCAGCTGGTTCTTCTGCCTTCTGCAAAGGGAACCCCCCCCCCTCTACTTTTCACCCATTTCTGACCCTGTAGAACCGTGATGCTGAACCTGTGGCACACGGAGGGCATGCGAGGCGATGCCCTGTCAGCTGGCCAGCGCGCATGCGTGTTCTGACAAGTTGACTTTGGCCTTCTTTTGAGGCCGTTTTTCGCCCTCCAGAGGCTTCCCGGAAGCCTCCAAAGTGCGAAAAACTGGCCCTACAGGCAAATTGGAAGTTTGGGAACGGACTTCCGGTTTGCTCATAGGACTGTTGTTTGTCCTACGGAGCCTTCAGGGAAGCCTCCTGAAGGCTCCGGAGGTAGAAAATTGGCCTACGGGCAACCCGGAAGTTCGGGGATGGTGACTTCCGGTTTGTCTGTTTTTCGCCCTCTGGAGCCTTCAGGGAAGCCTCCTGAAGGCTCAGGAGGTCGAATGTCGGCCCTACGGACAAACCGGAAGTCACCATTCCTGAACTTCCGGGTTCCCCGTAGGTCCGTTTTTTGCCCTCCGGAGGCTTCAGGGAAGTTCTTGAGACCTCCGGAGGGCGTTGGGAGCGGGGTGGGGAGGCTGTTTTCACCTTCCCCAGGATCCTAGAAAGTCTCTGGAGCCTGGGGAAGGTGAAAAAACCGTGACAAAAGAGGGTGTGTTGCCGATTGCACGCATGCGCGCTGGGGGGGATGCACATAGCATTATGGGTGTGGCATGCAAGCGCACCACCTCCCTGTGCTCCCCCCGCTTTTGGCACGGCAGCCAAAAAAAGGTTTGCCATCACTGCTGTAGGAGGACATGGCTGAAGAACCCTGGAAATGGCATCCTTGCTCCCTAAACAAAGAGGCACGTTTCTTTCTCACCCATCCAGTAGACTCCAGCATCCGGAGATCCAGCGGGTCACCTATAGGCTGATTTCCAAGCAGAGAGAGGGTGTGGCAGGTGGCCAGACAGCGGAGCAAGGGCCCGTCGGCCAGCTGACGGAGCTGATGGACAATGGGCAGAAAAGAGCTACCGGCTTGGGGAACGACTCCCCAGATGTCCATGCCGTCAGCGGTAAGGGTCCCTGTCTGGGAAGAAACCTCAACGAAGTAAGAGTCGGCTAAGGTTCTTGGACAGACATCCCAGGACCCCAGCACCCGTCCCGGGGTCTCACCTTGTCGAAGCAAACCAGGCGCACCTTCCCACAGAGGTCGATGCGTTGGGGACTGACACAGAAAATGCCCTGGCGTTTCAGCCGAGTTTGAGCGTACATGGTGCCCATCGTCATCGCAGCTGGCAAGGCTGGGGGAACAACCACCGTCACAATGTCCAGAGCACGGAGGGCTATCAGCCAACGGGAAACCTGCCAACGGTGACTGCGTGAGAAACAAGTGGGTAGAATGGCTTCCCAGCTACCCAGAAGGCAAAACGGAGATTGAAACGAGATTGTGTTAAGATTCTTGGTGAGGTTAAAATATGTTAAAATATTCATGACTGGGAGAGACATGGGAACAAGGTCAACTGATGAATGGGCATAGCAACTAAGTCAGACAATGAGAGCTTAAACAGATCCGAGTCTGTGCAGAGAATTGAAACAGAAACTTAAGCACTCTGCTGCTCTGAGAAGTAAACAAGCAGTCTGTCTGGGCTTGTCTGGAAATGAAATTAACCGCTTGTGTTTGCCTGTAACTCTCCTGCCTTGTGTTCACTTGGAAGAACCACCTGTTGGTATTGTACATTTATTCATCTATTATTATATATATAAAGAAGTTAATGAATCCAGCTGCATCAGTATCTCTGTGTGCTTTCTGGATTTGAACTTATGCAACAAACTCTGACAGACTCCAGATGGGGAAGGTCAGCTAGGTCCAATCTTTTTAAGCCTGCCTTGCACTCAGGCCTGCTGCCATCCCAGGTTGACTCCATGCACCCCCAATAGCAGAGACCCAATGAGCGGCTGGCCAAATAGGCCACCAATTGGAGGAATTTTGTCACCCAAGAGGTGATCGCTGTGTGTTGTGGGGCAAGGACCTTTGCAGTAGTTCACATCTGGAGACCTGGGGTTGGGGGAAGGTGGTGAGAGAGACTCCGAGACCTCCAGGCACTGAACCTACCTTGTTCCTCTTTAAGATGATGATGCTGTAGATGGTTCCAATGACGGCTGGAGGAAAGAGAAATAAAAGTCTTGGGAACCCCAGCAAACAAGAGTATCAGAGCAGCCCATGGAAACCCACAAGGAAAGAGCCGAAACTGGTGTCACCATTGGGATAGGCCTTGCAGAAGGAGGTTGGCCAAAGAGATTCCAATTAGACAAGGACCCACAGGCAGGATATATTGCACAGAGCGTGACCCGACAAATGCGCGCATGACAAAAGCGTGCCGATGAAACCGTGTCGAAAAACCCACGACATCATAAACGCGCCCACAACACGCCGACAAAACCACGCCCACAAAAGCACGATTTAAGTTAAGGTAAGGGTTAGGGTTAGGTTCAGGGTTAGGTTTAGGGTTATTAGGTTGTTATTAGCTGTTCGTTGAAGGGGCGCTTTTGTCGGCGCACTGTTGTCGGCACGCTTCTGCGCGCATTTGTCGGCGCGATTTCGACCTTGTGGTTTTCTCACCGCGGTTTCATCGGTGCGCTTTTGTCGAGCGTGCATTTGTCGATGAAACTACATAGAGGTGGCCAGAGGTGGCAGGGCCCAGCAGCTCCTCAGCTGCATAGAGGCAGGACATGTTTTGGGATGTGCTGGGGACCAAGGATGGTTTCTATTCCAGCTCCTGCTGATGCCACCTCAGCAGAAACAAGCCAACGAAGGATGTACAAGGGCTAGCAGGGTTTCCAATGGGCTTCTGGGGAAGTAGATAGTGGCAGCTTTATGCTGTTCCCAAGTACCGTCTATAACTATACCCTGTCCTAAACAGGCTCCACTTGTACGTCCCTGAACTTTTTGGCTCAAACCAGTGACCGTGGTTAAGCACCCTCAGTTGGTCCTGATTCTTGATGGAAGCATTTTGAACCCTTGGTGG